AGATTGTCGGACGTGATGTCACTCAACTCGGAATTTCCGAGTTCCGAGAGAAAAACGAACGCACCATAAGTCCAAACTGCCCCCTCAAAGAATCCACAGGGAGTGTGACTGTCCATGTCACACCTCCATCACCATTCAGAGTCACAACACAACACTGAAATACACCCACAACATGCCCCCAGGTAAAAGGTGCAGCCATAGAAACAGCACAGCCCCTCCCCTTTCCATCCAGCCCCAGCCAAACCAAGCTGCGTGCCTGAATGCGGGGTCAGCCATGACGCCAAGGAGAGACGCCCTTCACTCACATCACGCTTGACCCCTGCATCACGCTTGGCCTGAGCCAGCTCCAGGCGCAGGCTGCGGCGCTCCACCTCAACGCGGTGCAGCCGATGCGTCAGCTGCAGGACGTGCTGCTGCAGGAGCTGTACCATGCGCTGGCAGAGGATAGAGAAGTCTGAGAAAGAAAGGCTGAGGGAGAACGACTGAGAGAAATACTGAGAGAACCTGACAAAGAAAGACTGATAAAGTCTAAGCTGAACATAAGGAGCTACAGTCTCATCACCGCTTGCAAATATGAATGATCATTTATCACAGACAGAATAAACATACAGCAAACTAAACCATCAGACGGCTGTGACACCTACTGGTGAGGTCAACAAGCAAAACACCATGCAGAAATCAATAGCAGCACTGTACAGCCCCGTCAGGCCACCCCCCAAGCGTTCCTCAATTAAACTGGTGTCTAGTATTTCAGTGATATTTAAGGCTGGTCAGGCAAGGTGACAGGATTACAGCTGAAATGTCTTATTCTCAGTGTATAAGAATCACTAACCAGTAACCAGTACCACGTTATAACTACCCATCTGCACGGAGTGAGGCACATGTGCCCAGCAGGTACCTTCCTGGTGAGGGCGGCAGGGCCGGCATCTGGGAGCTGGCGGAGGCCGCGGCCCAGCCTCTGCACCAGCTCCCCCCAGCCCCCGATCCAGGCCCCGGGGGCCGACTGGGCCTCACCGAGCAGCTTCTCCAGCAGCACGGAGAGACGGCCCCAGGCAGCTCCTTGCTGCAAACGGGACCCTGTTGGGCAGAGAGGAAGCCAGATCCGTCTGTCAGAGCGGCTCTTCAATCAACATGCGAACTAAATCTTCCATTATCAGGACAGATGTTTACCCGACACTCCCATACCTATTGCGCTGCATCCATTCCAGCTGTGATTTGTGCAGCTACGTGTGGAATGAATCCGTACATTAAGTGCAGTACCACCAAAAACCATAGGAGCAGTATGGCCACCCTTTGTCACAGAGCTGTGTGTTTATATACGGTACAGTTAGTATAAAAACAGCCTGTGTGGTGTTTAATGAGTGCCTGGAAGAGATACAAAGCAAAATATTTTCAGAGGCAGGAGAATAAATATTCCAAATATTGCTTGCCTCTGTCTTCAAAATGTAAAGTTTAAGTTTCTTCTGTTTCCAAATTCAATGTCAGCTAAGAAAGCAGCGTCATATGTACAGAGTGCAGTGACATTCTAACCTGAATGCCATCCCCCCAGACTACTGATACGAGGGCTGGGTGATATTCATATCAACATCGCATGTCATGCACGTCGCATAACATCATACTGTATGGACATTATGACGTGCCATAAGATATTATCATAAACATTATTTCTAAAAACAGCTGCGGTATTTAAAAATCTTGGCGATGAAATTCACCAAGCATGCCCGGGTTTGAGTTTCCCTAAAACGTTTATACTCTGTCAAAAAAATATTGATTGTTCCTTTTCAATATTAATATATGTTAAAAAACAGTTTAAAGGTACAGCTGCTTTGCATGAGCGCTGCATGCAAGCCAATCATCATCACTTTCATCCTTACTGTTTAAATCACTCATAGATGGGTCTGTGAGAAATTTATTTTGAGCTATTTTTTTGCTTCATAAATATTGCAATATTTATCACAAAAAAACACATCACAATATTTGAAATTTTTCCAATAACAACATATATCTAACAACATATAATGCAACATTCAACATGAAGTAGTAAAAAGATATGTGACACAGCAAAGCAGCAATATGAAGTGACAATAACAATGAAGAGAAAACAGAGAATGCACCAGGACTATTACAGACTTACAAGCTAGAGCAGAGCTCCACCCACCGCAAGTCCCCAAACCCCTAGAGCAGAGCTCCACCCACCGCAAGTCCCCGAACCCCTAGAGCAGAGCTCCACCCACCGCAAGTCCCCAAACCCCTACAGCAGAGCTCCACCCACCGCAAGGCCCCGAACCCCTAGAGCAGAGCTCCACCCACCGCAAGGCCCCGAACCCCTAGAGCAGAGCTCCACCCACCGCAAGGCCCCGAACCCC